TATTTATAAGTATTTATTAGGTCCCCTCTCAGCCTTCTCTCCTTCAGGCTAAACATGCCCAGCTCCCTCGGCCGCTCCTCGTAGGAGAGATGCTCCTGCCCCCTCATCATCCTGTAGCCCTCTGCTGGACTTTCTCCAGTAGCTCCTCATCTTTCTTGAAGTGGGGAGCCCAGAACTGGACACAGTACTCCAGATGGGGCCTCACTAGGGCAGATAGCTAGATAAGCTTCTCTCTTTCTCCATTCACAAACACTGCCAACAATACAGCTTTGCCTTTCAGTCTTTGTTCTTTCTGTTACTGCCCAATTCAGCTACAGAAATGAGTGTGGGAAGGGAACAGGAAAGCAGTAAGGTGTTATGGAGACCACTTCTCAATTAGATGGAACTCAATATGGAGTTCCTGCTGTAGTCTGCAATTAGATGTATACAATATTGTGTTCCTGCTATAGTTTAAGGAAAATGACAATCTGCTCAGGCCAAGGCCCTCTCTCTGAACTCACATTGTCAAAGAAACAGTCGTAGCCATCAGGAGAGGCTTTACGCAGTGCTTCATCCAGAGATGTAACAGTCTTGTAATTAATGGCTTCATCAAAGCCTATTTTTTTCAGATAGGCAACCTTGTCATCTGAGCCAGCACAGCCAACTACTTTGCAGCCCTGCAAGGAAAGGAGAAGAACATTTCTACACACCCCCTCAAAACACAGGCTGACACTCATAGTGCTGGGTGGAGGGCTCACCCTTAAAGGCAGGCTGTCGTCACCATATGAGTTCCTGAGCTCCAGGTAACAGTCAAATGGTTTTGCTACATCTTCAGGACCTTGTCCCATCTCAACACAGTACTGTAGGCATGACTTCAGGGATGCCTGCCCTCCTGATCATTCATGGCCTTGTTCCCCTGCCTCCCAGGTGAGCCTTCTGATGAGCAACTACGAGCAATTCAAGCCACTCACCCCGATTTTAGCGAGCTGCCCCACCACAGAGCCCACAGCACCAGCTGCAGCATTAACCAGCACCGTCTTGCCTGGCTTCATCTTGCAGACCTCCAGCAGACCAAAATACGCAGTGAGGCTGTAAAGAAAAAGAAAGAATGCTCTGTGAAGAATAAAAGATGCCAGACACAGAGATGTGACTTGAACACATTGAACGAAAACATTGTCACAATCAGAACAAGATTCTGTTTTCCTCATTCTTTATGAAATACAAAAGTTAACCCAAACTTCTTAATTTCTCTTTTTTTACAGCCATCCCAGGAAAATACAAATACATTACTGGGAAACAGGATGCTGTGGCAGAACTCAAACTTAGGTGAAAACAGCTTTCTGTATGCTCATTAGCCAAAAGGAGAAACACAGAGATAACTCTAAGGTGACCACTCAGTTACAGACTGCAAGAGAGAGTAAATCCATGCTAGACAGAGGTCAGCAGACAGCTGGTAGCTACCGGATAAAGGCAAAGATTAAACAATACTCATCACAAATCAAAGCTGGCAGAAAAAGTGATAGTAAAACCTTGCTGAACTGATGGGCACATTGTTCCTGAGGACCACTGGGCACAGCTATGGCTACTGGGTGAACAGTAATCTGTAGGAACCAGGGAAGTTTAGCGTGTTCCACTGGTCGTATAAATACTGAGTAACATCAGGCTATGCAAACTTCCTGAAGCAATGTGATCAACTGGCCCAGAATCCCAACAAACTTTTCTTCTGACTTCTAAATACAAGCTTAGAGTTTCCCACTTGGTCCAATCTAAAAGGGTGAATGGAATCCATCTAGCAGCTGTCTGGAAAAACATGCATCTCGACTGATGTCAGAATGAAATCTGAAAAGTTCAACATCACACACAACGTTACAATCGTTTCGGAAGCCTTCCATGTCAACAGGACAGACCAAGTCCTGATTTCCCACAAAAACTACAGAGAATGAGAGAAGAAATGTGAGAAGATGACTGAGAGACTGCAGTAGTGAATACAAATTCTGAAGCACAACAGCTCTGTCTGCTGCATTGCAATTTAAAAGACCTCTATTTTGCTGCACAATATGACAGCTGTCTTTTGCTATTTTGGGGGCAATTCTGGAAATATGGTGATAGCAAAAGAGCCCAATCAGCAAAAGCAGACTAGTCCAGGTGCCAGTGAAGTTTGTGTTTTTCCACTGAGGTTAATTCAGATTGAACTGGATTCTTCCGAGCACCTCACAGATTATCTTCCTGCTTTATTATAACTCCCCAAGCAGAGGCATCATAATCTCCAAGGTAAATCTCGTCTGATCTAGAGGATAGGCCAAACTTCAGGCCCTCTACAGGGTAAGGGCATCCAGAAGCACACATGCTTTTCACCAGAGTGAGCAGACAACATACTGGTAAAACAAGACATGGAAAAAGGGTCCTACAAGATAGGCAGAATCATCCTGCACGGCAGGTTCTCAAAACTCACCCTGGCATGCCAACTGTTCCAAGAGCCAGAGATCTGGGGAGCGATTCTGGCCAGCTAGAAGGAAGGAGTTCTAGGTCTTTCCCATCAGAGATGAAATGAGTTCTCCAGCCACTATTAGCCACAACAAAAGTCCCCACTGTGACAGCCAGATTCTTGCTTTCTACAACCCTGTTAAAAAAGAATACCCTGTCAGAGACAAATCATCACTGGCTCTTCCCTCCTTTATTCCTGTTGCCCTGTGATGCAGGAGAAAAGAAATATTTCATGTCAGGACATTTAGCCCATACCCACTGACGCTGTAGGCTTCCAATGTCTTTTCTGAAACATCTACAATCTCTCATCATCAGGGGGATACTGGGTAAAATTATTTTAGACTCAGCCCTGCACACCCCAAATCCAATTTTCCCACATAGATGCCAAGTTTTTTTGGACTAGCACCAGTCTGGTATGGATTCAGACTTCCATGAGTTAGAAGGCAAGAAAGAGGATGCTGGGATTAAAGGGTGGAAAAGCAAGAAGTCACAGATAGTCTGTAACAAGCAGTTCCCTTCTCACACAACCTGCACCCTATTTAAAGGTTGAAGATTCTGAAGATGGAACCTCTTAGGGTGAGAAAACTAGAGAGAGAATGCAGTATCTAGTAACAGGGAGAAGTTCATACTTGCTGTGTCTCTATGCCAAATGAAAATTCAACTCTCTTAGCCCAATGGGAAAACTATGTTGGGAAGGGCTAGGTAAATAGCTTTGAAATATTGGGAACAGTTGGCCTCCCGTTCAGCAGAATTTATTGTTAATTTATACCAGCCCTCAGTGCTCCTGCAGAGAAACACAAGAGTCAAAGGCCACAGATGTTCCTGGGCAGCAACTTAAGAGGCAGCACAGCAGAAGCAAGCTGTCAAAGGGAAACATCTGTGTGGCTATATTACTATAAGCTTGGGAAAGGGCGGATTTAAGGTCAGATAACCCTTTGGATACACCTAGGACTGTATCTCATGTGACACTGATGTATTCTCATCTGGAGTAGACATGCACGGTGTGGGGACATTCAATTACTAGCACATCAGATTTTAAAATGTGAAGTTGACACAGCAGACCAACAGTGGTTGGTCCTGCATGAAGGCAGAAGACGTTCTTGGAGGAAAAACACATTCCAGCCAATTACAGGTAAAAGTACAGTTGCAGAAGTATGTAGACTCAGGTCAAGAATAGGTAATGCAGGTTGCAGATGTCTTGAATGTTGTACATTCCTTCGAGATCTGACATGTGTATGGGTAACAAGAACTGAAGATCTTACCTGGCAACCTGCGTGCCTATCATTACATCCCCTTCCTTCATATACCTTCGACTGTAAGGTCTGTAACACAGGCAAAGAAACAGCTTACTGCAAGCAACTTTAATGATGTTGCAAATATACTACGAAGCAGTAGCTACTGTCTGACCCAGAAAGAGAGCATAAGCAGTGACGTCGACCAGATCACAGAGCTTGTCATTGTAATGACAAAACTGGATGTTTTCCATAGCCAGCTACTAGAGCACCCCAGCTTGACTGAAGGCTGGGTGAGTCCTAAAGTGCTGGCGACACAATAGCATTAATCTTCTCAGCATGGTCCACCACTACAAGAAGGCTGAGATTCCAAAGAACTATTTCTGACACTAGGGTCTACCAGACTGCTTACAACTGCCCAGTCTCCCTGGGCTTGAACTATCACCTATTAATATGGGTATATCAGCAATTTCCTACTTTGAATATGTATCCTTAAGTACAAGTGAAGTAGCTACTGCAATAGGGCCGCATTCTCATTTCAGCCCGTTGCATTCCAGTGGAAGAGACATGACAAGCAACCACAGCAGACTCCAGAAAAAGTCTACGGCTGCAGCATCGTCATCCTTACGTCTGGCTAAATCTGGACAGCTCCATATTGGGAATCTTGTAATCTACATACATTTTATAAAAAGCAGACAAGGGCATCTGGGATTCTGGCAACTGAGGATGCTCCCAGTACATGTGCTTTTGAGGTTTAAGTGGCAGATCAAATGGGGTAACTTAGCCAGCAATTTAAAAAGAAGAAAAAGATATACCTCATGTACGGATCAACACTGAGAAACACTGATTCAAGCAGCAGCTCTACAACAAAAGACAAAGCAAATTCCTAGGCATTATCAGTGCAGTAAAGCATAGTTTCATAGAATCATAGAATGCTTTGGGTTGGAAAGGACCTTTAGAGGTCATCTGACCCAATCCCCCTGCAGTGAGCAAGTCACTCTTTCAACACAAGTGACAGGATTCTTGACAGCTCAAAAAACCCATATCCCGTCATCCTTTAGGGAAAACCTACCAGAAACGACTACATTCATTAGCTTTGTCTACATTATCGCTGTGCTGTTACAAAGGACACTTTCTGTACTGTCTCTTTAGCAGGCCAGCTTCTTTTCAACCCTGTTTTTCTTCATCTGCCTCTCTCTCTGTGGAAGGCTCAAGAGGCCAGACCCTCTAAGAAAAACACTAACTCACTTTCGACTCGGAAATAAAATGCCTTCCTATGACTCAGCCAGCAGAGGGCGGTAAGAAACCTTAGAATCATAGAAAGTTTGGGTCAGAAGGGACCCCTAGAGGTCATCTAGTCCAACCCCCCCGCAACGAGCAGGGACACCACTAACTAGATCAGGTTGCTCAGAGCCCTGTCCAACCTGGTCTTGAATGTTTCCAGGGATGGGGCCTCCACTGCCTCTCTGGGCAACCCGTTCCAGTGTTTCACCACCCTCATTGTAAAGAATTTCTTCCTTATATCCAGCCTAAACCTACCCTGTTTTAGTTTAAAACCATTACCCCTC